GTTCCAATAAGGACACAATAGTCTCACCAGGTATTTGAACAGAGAGGATTCAATGTAAAGAATTGTGAACTAGGCATAGAGTTGTTAACTGGGACGTTGAAAGAGTAAAAAGAAAACCCTGGGATATCATGGGACGGGCGGAAGCAGCTGCCATAACTAGGGCTGAGGGAACAAAGGGAAGAGGTTGGAACTGTTAACACTTGGACACTGAGAGGAGGGGATCTGACGCACAGAACTCTGAGGAGGGAGCTGGGGCTGGCTGGCACGCGGGAGGACCTCGGATTAGAAGGGCCCAGTGAAGCTGATACTCCTAGTGTTGGGAAAACTGCCAAATGGATTCAGCTGCTGCTACAGGAAGGCTCTGTTGGCAGGGAGAAGACCCATTGCCAGGCAGAGCTCACCAGAACAGCAAGCAGAAAGGAAACCCACAGACAGCAAAGGCCTTGCAGGCTCCCTCTGGCACCCCCTATTGGCAGATCCTAACAGAACCAGTTGGCAAAGCCAACTCCACACCACAAAGCAGAACATGTAAGTGAGGGTTTGGCGCTAAGACACAACTGTCACACCCAACACCTGGGAACCCCATCTACCCCACATCACATCTTTCCTGAGCTGACTGAGCCAACCCATTGTCTTGGCATTTGCCCCCACATCACCCCCTGCATTTCAATCAAGGCCTCACTGGCACAGCCCTTAAAACAGTCACCTTGGTGTTGGATTTCTGAAGACTTATACAATAAAAATAACTTTGTATCTTCCATTCCTGCCATCATTCCTGGTATACAGCAGGTAACCCTTAAGTGTTTCTTGAATAAGACAGAACATATATTCAAATATATGCTAATTAAATCAAAATACTTTTTGTGTCAGTTATTTTTAAAATAATACTATGCCAACGCTGTTTGAGTGTAGTACTCAAATTAAGTCAACCCTTGCCCTGGCTGGGTGGATCAGTTGGTTGGAGCGTCATCCTGTACACCAAAAGGTTGTGGGTTCAATTCCTGGTCAGGGCACATACCTCAGTTGCAGGTTCCATCCCCAGTCGGGCCCATATGAGAGGCAATGGATCAATGTTTCTCCTACATCAATGTCTCTCTCCCTCTCTCTCAAAATCAATAAAAAGATACTCTTGGGTGAGGATTAAAAAATAAAACCAAATTAGGCCAACCCTTTGGAAAACAATTCATGGAAAAACATATCCATGAAGATGTTCACCATGCATTCTTTACAGAGCGAGAGGAAGCAGCCCACATAGCCCACAGCAGGGGCATAGTTGAAATAGTGCCAGTAAGTTATGAAACATTCTGTTCTTGGCTTTAGAGTCAGGAAATCACTGACAGCATCTCAAAATCCCTGAGCATACCTTGATTTCTACATGCCATTCTCCACTACGAGAAACTAAGTTTCCTGAGAGAAATGGCTAATTCCAGGGCTGGGACAGAGAAATCACACGGTGGGCCAGAGCATCTCGTTCCAGAAAGTCAGGAAGTGCTTAAAGAGTGGAGAGAATGTATCAAACACAGACGCTAGCTTGAAAGGACTCCCAGAGCCAATACGCCTGCATTTAAAATCAGAGTTATGGAGACAGTGCTGTATTGTGGGAGACTGGTTATACTTATCTTCAGGGAGGTCAGATAGTGAGCCAGACTTTGGAGTCAGAGATACGTGGGTTCCCGCACTAGCTCTAGCACTTACCAGAAGTGCCATTTTGGATAGCTTCCCTGAGCTTCCATTTCTTTAGCTCTAATGTCAGGAAAATACCTACTTTGCAATATTATGTTAAGGTTTAAATGAGAAAGAGAAAGCAACCTATACAGAGCTGGGCACATACGAGGAATTCATAAGCAGTGAATGTGTTCATTGTTTCCTCAAGCAAATGGGCAGGTTGGAAAGGTGTAGCAACTTTACAGCTCTAAGTATATTTCAAAGAAAACAGATGCACTGGGGAGAGGGGACTAAAAGGAGATGCACTAAAACGCTAAACAAAGGCTGTATTCAAATTATGGATAACTTTTCCCTTCCTGTGTTTTCAAATATAATTCACATAGTCTGGTATTTCAAGAATAGCAAAGCATATATCATTTTTTTAAGGGCAAGTTTTGAGCAAAACCTTCCAAAGATCAGAAAATTATTTATTGGTCGTTAAAAATGTCCAAAATGTTACCTGCCTACCTGCCTGCCTTCCTCCCTGCATAATTCAGTCCCAAATATATTATAGGGCCAAGGAAAGTAGGCACCCAAGTCTGGGCACAGTGTGCATGCAGTGGGGTGACTTGTCCATCACAGAAGAGGACATCTGAGCTGGGGCAGTGGCTACAGGGGAGGTTGGTTTTACACACAGAAATGATGGAAGGGAAACTAGAATGAACTGTGTGGTATGGAATTGTTATTGAAGGTAAGTGTGAACTCACGGTCTTCAAGATAGGCAGACAGAGAGATAAAATACACATGTTTAAATTATGTGTGTATAGATTACACATATACATATACACATGATGTATATCCCCTCTTTCCACATCCATATAGATTAGATGTCTTAGATTCTAGAAAATTTCATGTTTACTGAATAAATATATATTTCCACTAAAATCTCATTTTCTTCATGTTGTCCTCCACCTGAGCAGGTTTTAGAATCACTGGTCTAGAATCTTAAAGCTTAAAGGCAACGTTCTGTTCCTGGCTTACCAGTCGGAAAAATCACTGACATTTCGAAAGCTATGCACATACCTAGTGCTGAGATCTTGGTTTCTAAATACCATTCTCCACTTAAAGGAACTAAGTTGCCTTGGAGAAATGACTAATTCCATGGCAGGGGCAGAGAAATCACAAGATGAGTGAGTCATGACCCTCTTGTTCAGAAAAGTCAGGAAGTCTTAAAGAATGGAGGGAATGTATCAAATACAGAAGCCAGCTTGAAGGGACTCCCACAGGCCAAAGTTGGGACAATCTGAGCATCAAAATAAATCCTATATAATAAAAGCCTAATATGCAAATTGTCCCCTCAGACGGTCATTCGACCATGAGTTCAAACAGGAGACCAGTTCAACTGCTCACTATGACATGCACTGACCACCAGGGGGCAGCACAGAACATGGCGGGCATCAGCAACACTGTGCTGGCAGCAGGTGGCAGTAGAGGTGCTGCCGGCCTGATGGGCCCTGATGAGAGCAGGACTGTAGCAAGATGGTGGAGCAGGTAAGCGGGTGGCGCCAGGCCAAGGCGGGTGTGAGCGAGGGCCTGATTGCCCTGCCAACTGCCCCACAGATGGTAACCAGCAGCAGCAGTGGGGGCCAGGCCCCGATCAATTGCGCCACAGGCGGGATAGTGGAGTAGGTGAGGGGGTGGTGCCAGGCCAAGGCAGGGCTGCAGGGGTGTGAGCTGGGGCCCAATCCATGCAGGCCACCCTGAGGAACCCAACCTGTGCACGAATTCATGCACCGGGCCTCTAGTAATGAATAAAATAGAAGGAATCTCTGAGTCTATATAATCCTATATAATAAAGAGCTAATATGCAAATGGCTGTCATGCCCTTGTGCCCTTGCGCCCTCATACCCTCGTGCCCTAGTGCCAGGGCCAGGGCACATGAGGCTGGGCAGGGGGACCTGAGGCTGCACTCCCTGCCTTGCAGGGCTTGACGGGGGTGGGGCTGGCTGGGTCTGAGTCTTGCACGATTTTGAGGTGCATGCAGGTGGGCGGAGACTTGACTCTGGGTCCCACGGCGCACCCCAGACTCTAAAAGGAGGGAGATTTTCATATACATTTCATATACATTTTACTAATTTTCTTTCATCTCTGACACTTCTATTATAAAGAAGGGGAAAATAGCAATATTGAAATATTTCCTCTAATTAATTCCCTTTTAATGTGCACAAATTTTGTGCACTGGGCCACTAGTATAATATGAATAAATAAATCTATCTATATAAAAGCCTAAGCAACTAACGGCCAGTCGCTATGACACACACTGGCCACTAGGGGGCAAACATTCAACGCAGGAACTGCCCCCTGGTGGTCAGTGTGTTCCCACAGCCAACCTCCTGCAGCTGGCCAACCTCCCCCAGTCGCTCCCCCTGGCCAGCAGGCCCCAATTGGCCTTGATCCAGACTGGGCAAGATGGCCCAAATGGGCCTCAATCACTGGCCAGGCCAAGGGACCCCACCCATGCACGATTTCATTTACCAGGCCTCTAGTGAATAAATAAATGTGAAGATGATAAAGGGGAGGGGGGGTTCCCATACAGAAGATACCAAGTAATAAATGTAGAGGTAATAATGTATTTGGCAACCATAGCAATAATTAAGCCAAGATACATCAGTGAGGATAGAACTAGTGGAGAAAATTTGATGGAGATCCAGATATTTCCATGGTCTCAAAATATCTCTCCACAAAACGCATTTTCATTACAAAGAGGAAAAAAGTAACTCACAGGGGAGAAACCTAGCAGACATCATCTCAAGTCACCAAAGTTAACATCACCAGTGATGGAAGAAATTGAAATTGTGCCCTGCCTGACAGGATACACTAGAAAGAGCACAGCACCGCTTCTGTGGTCTTCCTGCCAGAAATGTACAACCTGAATCTAATCATGAGGAAACATCAGATAAACTCAAAGTGAGGAGCATACTGTAAGACAACTGGCTTATCGTCCTCAAAAGTGTCCAGGTCACAAAACTGAGGCACGGTTACAGACTAAAGGAGACTAAGAAGACACGACCACCAAAGGCGATAGATAGCACAGGATTCTGAACCGATGCTTTGGCTGTGAAGGGCATTATTGAGACAAACGGCAAAACTCGAATGGGGTCTGAGGGTTAGATGGCAGTCACATGTCAATGTTAATCTGATTTTGATGACTGTAATGTGGTTGAGAGAGAATGTGTCCTTGTTTGTAGGGAATACACATTAAAGTACGGGGTTGGGGGACAGCAAATGGTTCTCCAAAAAGTTCTTTGTACTCTTTTTGCCACTTTTCCATAAGTTAAAAACAATTCAAGAGAAAATAAAGTCCAAAAGGTTTATTTCAGCTGTGGCCAAAGCTCTGACTCTTTATCTCACTGAAAACAAAGGCTGCTGCCAGTTTGGTCAGCCAAACCTGTTCGTCCTGACAGTCAGGGACAGACTGCCAGGTGTGGGCTGGGCAAACAGCTCTGTCCAGGGGATCAGAGGCCAGGCCGGAGGGCCGGAGTGCAGGCTGAGGGCCACGGCTTCCACCTCAGCACTGAGCACTTAGGAGGAGTTGAAAGCTTTCGGCCCCTGGGGCCTGGGGCAGGAGGAAAAGCAACCCAGGACTCTTCCCACACCCCAGGAGCCCCAAGAGAACCAGGAAAGGGCTGCCCTGGAAGCCAGGCTTATGAGGTTTGGTTTCCTTCCCTCCCGGCCAAGCTGCTGCTTCATTTTCTGCACATTTTAACAGGTTTCATGTTTTCCCTGAGAGTCCTGCAAATTTCAAGCATGGAAAGGAATCAATGTTTGTTGACACCTATGTCCGCTGCACAGCTGTGAGCTGCTACAAGACAAGAGCCGTGCGGCAGACCTCGTGTCACAGTCTCACCCACTCCTCCCAGTGCCTAATAAGGGCTGGTCGCAGCAGGTGACTTCTGTGTGTGTCTGACTTTTCTGCATGTCTGGGCAGCAAAGATAAGCCCCCATCACCACACCGTTGCCCTCCACTTTCCTACCTGCAAAGGCCCACTGAGGCACCTCTTCCTAAATCACGTCACCCATATGAATATCCAGAATGGTGTGCTTAGTTATCTGTCCTAAGAAGCCAATAAGTTCCTGGCTTCCGAGAAGACAAGGCTCCTAGAAATAAGAAGTCAGGCTTTGGAGATACGTGTGCTGTGGCTAAAATTTTGGCCATTGCAAGGCACGGAGACCCTCATCCCCACTTTGGCCCACCCCAGGCATGAGTGCTGTCCATTGTGCTGAGCAGTCACAATTTACAGCAATGGGAAAGGACAGACCCCTGCCCAGAGTCAGGGTGTGGGAGGGTTCAGAGTAGGCATTTCCATGTCTCAGATGTTCACCAAAGCCTGGAAAAGCTCATCTGAGTCCTCACTGGAGACCACTGGGATCTAGATGAATGAGAGGTTCTCAGGAACCAGACAGGTACCTGGGCCTGGCAAGCTGGCTTCAGGAGCTCGAATGAAGAAGAAGGAGTCCCCAAGTTGGGCCCAGGCCCAGGGCTAGAGGTCCTGCCCCGGCAGCAGCAGCAGCAGCAGCAGCAAGGCCTTCTAGGTCATCCCTGGGCCCTTTCAGGCTATTCTATCTGAAAAGCATCTCGATATCACAGAGCCTGTGTCAACAACGCTGCACCCCACAGGCCTGGGGGTGCTCAGTTCCACATCGGAGGCTCCCCTTCCCACCTCCTGAGATCCAGCTACTGGAACAGGGTAGCGTGATACGGTGGCAACCAGGCATGTGTCTGCTCTTACCTGGGTCCAGCATCTGACCCCAGTGTGAACACCCCCTGTCCTGACCTGGGTCTGACTCATGCTTCTAGAATGGACCCTGAGGATCCCTGCTGCCCTGCAGTAGCTGACTCACAGCTGGTCCAGGTGTAGCTACAGAAAGGGCTCCAAGCATCCCTCAGGGAGGAGTTACCTGTGGTTCCGAGAACTCAGCACGTGTATCAGGCACGCCGCCACATTTCATTGGTATCATGACCCTGTGAGGGATTTCTGCTCTTTTCTAGAAAGAAGGAACGGGAAGTTCAGAGAGAATCATGCAGAGGTGAAGTCAAAGACCAATCCCCCAGCACTAAGCACAGCACCACTTACTCTCAGGGAACCCCCTGGGCCAGACAGCACCGCTCTGGGGAACCGGCCTTTGTTCACTTATTCCTCCAGGCAGCATTTATCGAGGGCTTCCTGCACTCTGCTTAGTGCCTGCTTAGTCCTGGAGAGAAGCCTGCAGGAAGCCCACTCAGCTCTCCTGAAGGAGCCAGGCTTAGCTGGGAAAGGGGGCACCCAGGCCCACCAAGGCAGAGACAGCTGCTCCACTGCCTCTGGCACGTGGCCTCGGTGGCTGGGGAGGGGTCTGTGGCTGGACGGGGGCATCCATTGGGCAGTGTGCCCCTGCACCCAGCAGGAGCTTCAGGGCAAGAGGTGTGCGTGCTCGCCACTGGCCTCGGCCTCCGGTGGGTGGGCAGGTGAGGGAGGCAGCCTCCTCTCGTTGCTGTGGCTTCAGGTGTCTGGCTGATGTCAGACCTGAAGAATGCATGGCACTCACTGTGTCTGGGGCCCAACTGGGGGCTGAGGCATTTCTTTAAAAGCTTATAAATCACCAACTACTTCCACTTTCAGCCCCGCCCCACCCCTGGCCTAGAAAGACTTCGTCTCCACACGTACACAAAAACAGCTTCCCCCAGGCCCTCTGTGCTACTCGCATGTGACCATGGCATTGCAGATCCAAATGGTCACCCTCCTGGGGGTCTCCTACCCCCCACACTACAGTGAAAACATGTGTACACATGAGCCTGTCATGGCAGGGAGAGCGCCATGCACACACTCACAGCCCTTCACCCCTTCACACACACAGCCAGTTGTCTTCATGCTATTCCCTGCTCACTGGTGTCCCCAGGTGCAGATAAGCTGCTACTTAGCAGAGCCCTCAGGCTCCTCCCGGTACCCCCAGAAGCATGTGCCTTTCCACTATCACAGGCGCTCTCATGTGTACACACTCACAGGTGCACAAAGGATTTACACACAGGCAAAAGCCTGCAGAGCCCACATGCCATTCACACACTCGTGTGTGCACTCTACACCCACACAGTAACAGACATGGATACCGGCAGGATGTACATACTCAAATCACACACCCACACCAGACACTCACATGTGCGCATGCATGACATACTATGCCCTAGTGTCCACACACCATTCACACACTCATGCAACTAGGTGGGACCTGCAGGGTGCCTGGGCTGAGAAGATGAGCAGGGAGGCAGGGGCTGACAGGAAGCTGCAATCCCCAGCCTCACCTCCAGGGGCCGCTGCCCAGCCCGCAGTCCCAACCTGGGCTCTGAAGGGCAGTCCTTGGGCACAGTCTTCCCACCACCTGAGGCAGTAGGTGGCACCATGAGGCCTCTGGCTGGGCCCCTGCCAGTCTTCAGGAAGAGACTCCCTGCAGTGGATGGGATGACCTGCTCCAAGAGGGGAGAATGGGCGGCTCTGAGTGGGGGCCAGTGAGTGAAAGAGAACCAAAGGGAAGATGAGGAGGTACTGGGGGGAAAACAGAGGGGATGGGAAGGAATGGGGGGAAGGAGAAGAAAGAAATGGGGGGAGATGGAAAAGACAGTGCCCGAGATGGAAGGGAAACTTTAGAGGGAAGAAGGATGGGAGGGAGGGAGAGAGGAGGCAGAAGAGCAGGGGAGAGAGGATGCACGGAGGCAGTATGAGCCCCAGTAAGCGCCTTTTCCAGTCACAGGAACCCATAGGGGTGGGCAGGGGCTTGAGGGGGAAACCCTTTCCCTCTGTCTCCTGGGCTGTCTGAACCACCCGCCACCCTGCCCCCACTGGCAGCAATCCCCTGAGGGATGTCCTCGACCTCAGCACCCTGGCCAGCCCCAACCTGACACCTACCTGGCACCCACATGAGGACAGTTTCCAACAAGACCCAGGTGGCAGGTGCCGGGAGCAGAAGGCGGCCACTGGGGCCTGAGCATCTCTCTTCCCGCTCACTCAGCTCCTGGGCCTACTGCCCCTGTCCAGGGCTCTGTGGAATTGGAAGATGGGCTGTGGAAGGCAAAGATGTAGAGACTCTCAGAGCTTGGTGAGTCCAGGGTTCTCACCCTTTTGTGCCTAAGCCATCACCCACCTTCCCTTCCTTCCAGCCCTGGGGCCTGGTCCCATTCTCACAGCACTGGGACAGGATTGGATGGTAAGCCTGGTGAGCTGAAATGTTCTAAGAGCAGGTTACAGAGGAGATGAGGGGGCCTTGGGCCCAGGACCTTGTCCAGCGGCTCTTCACCCTGGATACACTCCCCAAACCCCGGCCCTCCAGCCCCTCCCAGAGCCATCCCAGAGCTTGGTCATCATGCCCACAGCCCCCTCGAGCCATTCTGTGGCCAGTGGGGGCCTGTTGGGCCACAGGCTCTGCCTCTCCTGGTTTCCTTGTCCCAGACCTCAGGCCCGGATGGGGAAACAGTGAGTGTCCCTTAACGGATCACTGAGGGCCTATCCTGTATGCGGGCCTGTGGAGCTGACCAGACTTTGAGGCCTAAAGGGAGGAGTTGGCGGAGCCAAGGCCACAGTCAAACCCCTGGCCTGCTCTTCCTTCAGCACCGCCCTGTGCCTCGCCTCCCCCTGCAGCCGAGCGCTGACTCAGGCCTGCCCTGTATCCCACCTACACACCCACCGGGGCTCCAAACCTCCTCCCAGTGGAGTCCCAGCCCTCTCGCCCGGCAGGACCCCTTCTCTTGCAGCTCCAGAATCACACACCCACTCCTCAGTCAACCCCCTCTCCTTCCCCAGAGGCATGCCAGCCCCCTCATCACGGAGTCAGACACGCCCTTCTTCATCCCCACGGCACTGCAGCCCCTGCATCTGACCGCGTCTCTCCGCTGCTTAAAACCCTTCAGTGGTCCCACCGCCCCGGAGACAGTGCACACTCCTCACTGTGGCATTCAAGACCCCTGTGTACTCTTCTGGCCTCATCTCCGCCCAACACTCCCAAAACCGCCCACCCAGTGTCTGCTCTCCAGCACAAAACTGCTTTCAGGTCCTTCAGGTCCCCAAACGGGCCGAGCGCAGCCCTCAGAGTTCCCATCATTCCCAGTGCGCCCCCCTCAAGCCCTCCAAATGCCTGTCTGAACCCCCTCCATGCAGGCAGGACCAGTCAATCTTTGCCAATTGATTACCCTCAGCCCCTGACAACTGCTGAGCTCCTAGTAGGTGTTTTATAAACATCATCTAATAATTATTAGATTCTAACTCCTTTTTTAACCCTCCCCAGAGGATATGTTTTATTTTCATTGACTTTTTAGAAAGGGGTGGGGGGAGAGAGAGAGAAATGTCAATTTGAGAGAAACATCCATCAGTTGCCTCCCATACACATCCCAACTGGGAATTGAACCCACAGCCTTTTGGTTATGGGATGATACTCCAACCAACTCAGGCACCTGACCAGAATTAGACTCTAACGCTTTCATTGATAGGGTGTCTGGCTCCCTCTCCACCAGTGCTGGCCAAGGAGACCCTCAGTGGGTGGCTGGAGCTCAGCTCCCCCTCAGCCCTCATTCTCTTGCTCCTTCCCTGCCCCTCTTCACGGGGTTCACAAGCAGCAGAAGGGTCACCACAGCACCTGAGGCCCCAAGACTATCCCTGGGAGAGTTGGCTTGACAGCCCAGCTAGAAGAGTGGGGGCACTCTTTGTTGACACAGAGCTCCCTGCATGCCTAATCCCCTCGGACAACGTAAGGCCAATGGTCAGTCAAGAAGGCCTGGCCACCCTAACCAGTTTGGCTCAGTGGATAGAGCGTCGGCCTGCGGACTGAAAGGTCCCAGGTTTGATTCCGGTCATGGACATGTACCTTGGTTGCAGGCAAATCACCAGTAGGGGGTGTGCGGGAGGCAGCTGATTGATGTTTCTCTCTCCTCGATGTTTCTAACTTTCTATCCCTCTCCCTTCCTCTCTGTAAAAATCAATAAAATATATTTTTTTTAAAAAAGAAGAAGAAGGAGGCCTGGACCTCTCCCCCGCCCCCCCACCCCCACCCCCACCCCCGCACCACCACCACCACTACCACCACTCCCACCGCCTGCCTGCAGGTCTCTGGAGCTTCTGAAGAGCCACCCAGCTACCCAAAGCATGACATTACTCTCTTCTCAACAGCTTTCCCAACTCCTTCACTTCCTGGCACAGCTAGAGCAGGGGAATGAGGCATGAGCAGAGAATGGGCCCTGCCCTTGGAAAGTGAGGAATGAGCCTGTCACTCAGGGCCCAGACAAACCCAGGGACACAGTCAGGCCAAGAGGCAGGCAGGTGGATGTTCCTGGATGATAGGAGTGACCCGGTAATAATGGCTACCCCTCATTAAGCACTTACTAAGTACAAGACTCCAAGCTAAGCTATTTATAGACGCTTTCTCAGCTCATCCTTCCCATAAGTCCATGGGGGTAGATATAATCTTTATTTTACAAATTGAAAAAGGAAGCTCAGAGAGCTGTAGCAAGCTGTGCGGCATCACACTGCTAACCAGTGATGGAGCTGAAATGCAAGTCCCGATCTGCCGGCTCCAGAACCCATACCCTTCCCACCCCATTTCCTGACCACTCCAAACTCTGGGTGAGGGCTTATTACTTGCATTCCAAAAATGCCTTGAGGGATCCTCATTGCCAATAGCATAACCTCTCCCATCTGAGGCCCCCCACCATCTGGCCCCTGCCTGCCATTTAGCTGTCACCCCCATCCACACCACCACGCCTCAAATTTCAATCTCACCACTTTCCAAGTCGAGCCCTCTGAGCTCAGCTTCTGCTGTTCACTCAGTCTCAAATGACGGCCCCATTTTACAGATGAGAAACACAGAGGATTAAGAATGCTAAGTAGGTAGCCCAAGGTCATGCAGCAATTGAGCCTGGTTAGAACCCAGGTCATTAGAGCATCAAGTAATAAAGCATTAATTTGTGTTACAGACAATTAGGGAATGGGAATTAGCAGAACATGCTGTTAATGGTGCAGAAGAAGGTAGAGGAGAGGAATCAGGTAGGTTCTGGAGTGGAGGAGGGCCGGGCTAGGCCTTGAGGAATAGCAAGGCCTGGACTGGTGAACTTGAGAGAGGGAAGCATGAGAAAAGTACAGAAACAAGAGAAAAAAGTGAGGGAGAGAGAGGCTTGTCAATATGTTACGATGGAAAGGGCTGTGGAACAGGGGTCAAGAGACTCACAGTGTCCCCAAAATATTGAGTGATCTTGGGCAAGGCCTCTCCTCTCAGTGGGCGCCTTGTCTGTAAATGAAAGGTCTGAGCCTGGATGGTCTTGGGAGTTCCCTACAGCACTGACATCCCAGGATTCCGTATGTGTTGCCACCGCATCTGGAAACATGGGATCTGACCCCAGACCCACTGACATGGGCAGTGGCTTGCACGCCCAGATCGGACAGGAGCCAGCAGTCAGTGTGGCACCTGACAGGTCACACCCAAGGGCTGGCCCCGGTTACATGCCAGGAGTCACCACGCATCCCTCGTCTCCACGCATTCTTGCTATAAGCATGCGGCGACTTGCTACAGTGGGTCCAGTCCTGCAGAAGCTGGGACACAGAGGTGAATGAGTCAAGGGGGGAGTGTGGGCTCACAGACAAGGAATGGCATATGCCCACCACTAGCTAAAATCCTAGACCCAGTTCATCCTCAGAAACGGGGAAGGGAATGGGAGTCCTTGGATTAATGGCAGAGGAAATGTCCTGTGAGTAAAAGTGGGGATAGCAGGACTAGATAAGTGGTCTGTCTGCCAAATTAGCAGACATTTGGGAAATAAGAAGGGTCCTCCAATCAAGACGGCATTGCACCCACATAGAGAGTACCTTCCAGACCATCAGTAAGGTAGCCCGTGGGTGCCTATGGTACAACAACACAGGTGCAGCCGAAGAGCTCAGAGCCAACTGGGCGCAGAAAGTGCATCTCGAGAGCCTGGACACACATAGGTGTGCACCTGCACACACACACACACACACACACACACACACACACCTGCACGAAGACCCCCAAATGAGGTGGTCCACCTCCCCACCTCCAGACTGAGCCCTTCAACCACTCTCCCTCTCGAGGAACATGCCCTTCCTGTGACACACAGCGGAAGTCACAGGTCTTGCTGCCTCACCTTGCTGCTCGCATTGCCGTTCTGATGTGCTTGCTTCCTTCCTGACTCAGGATGTGTCAAACAGAAGCAAGCCCACCCACCCTGCGTGATGGACTCCCACCCCCGGAACAGGAACTCAACTCTTACCGTTTCTGCCTGTTTAACCTCCAACTCTTGCCCTCAAGCACCCGATCTTATTCACCCCTGAACCCTAAATGAAGGTGTGAGGAAGCACCCCAGGGGCCCAACCTCCCTGGACTTGAAGATTGATGCCAAGCTGGAGGCTCAGTTGCAGGTACCAGCTTCCCTGCTTACTGGCTGCCAAGACTTTGCCTGAGTTCCATGCTCTGCAAGGTCATGGTGAAGATCACAAGGAAGCTGCCTACAGAGCCCTTCGCACAGAACGGGACACAGAGGAAGCCCTCCATGCAGAGAGCTGCAGTTATCACTAACATGTGTCCTTAATTTCAGCTCCCCTCCCCTTACCCCACCATCCCATCCCTTGAGTAGGAAATCCTTCTTGACGTCTAATCTCAGCCTTCCTTCCATGACACTCGGCGGTGTCCCACCTTTGTTGAAATCTGGGGACTGAGGTGGCTGAGACCACACCGGCTGGTTGGAGAAGCTGCCTCGCTGGAAGCGGCCAGGAGGGAGATTACAGAGGCGCCAGGCCTGGGCTCTGCCATGCACCTGCCGCGGCTCCAGCGGAGATGGGGGGCCGGCCAACTTACCCCGCCCCATGATCTCATGGCTGCGTTTGCCAGGTGCTGGCTCAGGGAGCAGGTGCTGACAGCGAGGCCTGGGCACGGAGCCCAAGAACGAGATGTGAGGGCCAACAACACAAGTTGTCCCCACAGGGCTCTGACCTCCACGTATGGTCTCTGGCTAGGATCTAGGTTCCTGCACCAGGCCCCTTCATGCTACCCAATAGCCCCCTCCCCCCACCCCCCGCTGTGTACTGCTCCCCAAAGGACAATGAATGAGGGGAGGAAGGGCTCCCTCTCATTCTCCAAGGATCAGTCTCTGCCTTCCCATCCCTTCCAGCGTCTCTCTCCTCCAAACTGCTGGCCCTGAAGGATGCTGTTGTGGCGAGTTTGCCAGGCGGGAGATGAATGACCAAATGCTGTCATTCCTGAGGCTGCTGCAGACACGCATCTAAGTGTCAGTTATAAAATGACTCTGAGTCTCAAAGAGACACCTCTGTCCCAGTTTCAGGGCGTCCCTAGAGGTGAGGACAGACCAGGAGTCAACCCCAGCCCCAAAGTTCTCCTGTGTGCTGGTCCTTAACCCCTCCCCACCTCACTCTCTCCCCATCACATAAACTCTGTCCTCCCCTCCTGACTCCCAGCCCCCAAGTCCCTGCCTGAAGGAAGCAGAGCGTTCTGAGCACCCAAGGTTTCTCTCCGCTGCTCAGCCCCGGGCCCAGCCCCGCAGTAGCCAAGCACAGGACAGGCCAACTGTGGGCCCGCCGTCCACCCTATCGGCACCCTGACCCCCTTCTAGGGAGGCACTCGGCCTTACTAGCATCCCCCCCATTTCTCCCAATCTCCAACTGCCCCTAGCTGCCCCCCCCACACACACATACTCCTCCCTGATCTCTTTCCCCTGACAGCCCACAGAGAAGACACCTGGAAGGACCACGTGCCAAACTGGGCCAAACTCCCTGGAGAGGAAGACCTGTCCCAAGGCTGCACCACATTCCCATGTCATCACCAAGGGGCACCAAGGGGTTAGGCAGATGTGCGGCGGGACAGCCCCCGCCCAGGAGGCAGGGCACATTCCCAGGGTGCCAGGTCACTGAGCCAGGGACCAGGAATGCTTCCGCCGGGATGTAGGTGCCTGCTGCTCCCCTCCTGCCCCCACCCCACTGAAACCTGTCCCTCCCCATCCTGCTCCACACCCCCTGCTCCGGGAAGCCTTCCCCAGCCAACCCCACCCAGTTCTTCCCACCGCTTGCCCAGCGTCCCCTCGGCGCTTGGGTCCAACGTTTTCCCCATATTCCTGTGCCCTTGTTTATATGTTGTTTTGCACATGTTCTCATAAAGCCGCATCTCCCATGGTCATCGCAGGTCGTGAGTCCCCAGTGTTAATGAGACCCATTTTGCTAGAGGATTAGTCCCTGCCCTTAAGGAGTGCCAAGAAGGCTCTGGAATCTAAGTCACATCTCTCTTCCTGCATTTTTTTTTTTCCTCTTGATAATCAAGCAACTGAAGAAACTCCCAACGGTAAGCAAGCGTCTCATGTTCTAGTACCCACCTGGCTGCCAGGGAGGCCCCAGATAAGGACGTATCAGGGCAGGAGTCTCTGGGGAGTGCGTGCCTGGACGAGGCAAGCTTCTCTTCGAGGGAAGCTTCTCCCTTTGGAGCACTGCAGACCCTTCTGAGACCAGGTGCCCTCTTCCCAGCCTCTGCAACCAGTGTCAATGCCGTGTCCTCAGCCTTTCCCTCAGACACCGCAGCAGGATGCGGGGAGAGATGGGCCTGGGGTTGAGCCTCAGCTCTCACACTTCCTAACTGTGTGGGCACAACTAAGTGCTCTGGACCTTGATCCCCTGTCTGTGAAATGGGCACAATAAGGAAACCACTTGAAGAGAGTGGGAAGGGCTGGAGTTGGTGTATGTAAGTCAGCCTGAAGCAGGCACTGCTGCATCCCCATTCTGCAGAACGGACACGGCAAGTCACTTCAAGGTCACACAGCTAGTTCCAAGGGCGCATTCCTTAACCCAGAAAGCCTTCCGTGAGTCCCTGATGAACCAGGTGGATACCAGGCTTATCTGCTTATCTAGATAAGCTTAGGGGAGGAGGAGGCAGGCCTGTGAGTGGGAAACAACAGTAGGACGGAGCAGGTTCAAAGCTACGAGAGGCTGAACAAATTGCTTCGGACTCATAGGAAGGGGCCAGCAGCCCCTCCCCAGCTCCTCCCTTCCTAGTCGAGAAGACGGATGTAACTGCATTTCAATAATAAAAGACGTGTTTGTGGTGTCCATGTAAGAGGCTTCAGTGGTGGGACTCCACACAAGGTGGCTTGTCCTGGACTCTGTGAACTCCTGGGCTGCCCAGACGCCCTCAGCTCCAAACCAGGGCAGCCCAGGCGCAGCTGCCCAGCTGCAGGGAGATGGAAGCAGGGCCCAGACCGCGGGCTCCCGCCCAGGAAGGCCACCAGCCAGCTGAAATTCCCAGCCCACCCGGAGGGCTGTGGGGGAGGGTGGGATTTATGGGTCTCCTCACCCGCAGCGGGAAATGTGTTGAGCTCAACAACATCTCTCTGGCCACAGGCCCCAGTGCTCCTGTGGCTCTAAATGATGGGGCAGAAGCCGGGTCATTAGGCAAGAGAGACTGTCATTAGTGCAGGTGATGCCACCGCTGACAGACAATGGCAAACAGTCATTAGCAGCTGTGTCACAGGGTGAGGCAATGCTGGCGGGCGCAGGGATCCGGCTCACCCCCCTCAGGCTGGCGGAGCACATGCTCGCCCTCACATGCTTACATACACAGATGAGAAAGCACACACTCTCCCACACTCACCTGTCTTCACACTCACACACAGAAGTGGAAGTAGATATACATTCACACACTCACACACACACTCACACACACAGAGGCTGAACAGACACACTGCCCAAAGACCCCATACAGGCAGGGGAGCAGGGCCCCTGGGTCCTTCCACAACCAGGTACCCAGACACTCAGACATCCCCCCTGCCCTGAAAGAGACATGCAGACCCTCGAGGGCCTTGGAACAAAAAGACTCTCAGATGCCCCCTCCCATCCCACCCACTCCCTTTTCAAAGATCCAGCACCAGGAGAAAGATACCACGCTAAGTGCAGGAGCAGGAAGGCTGTGCCTGCCCTGAAAGAGGGACAACATTGGTTTTAACACTTTAGCCCCCTCCGCACCCCCAGCCCTAACGGCTGGCACATGCCCTGCCTCCCTTGACACCTCACCCCCCAAGAAACGGGTTGCTGGAAGCATGTTTCTAAGGACTCTTGAACCCCAGTAGGGGAGAGACAGAAGGGAGGCTGAGGTCAGAGGAGGAGAGTTCCTGAAATCTACCCTCTGCTCCAGTTTTGAATCTTCCCTCCCACCCTCGACTTCCAGCTCAGAAAATGTGGGCAGGGCACAGGAAGAGAGGCAGCCTGGAGTGGTGAGCACAGCATAGTCGTCAGGCGGGTAAGGACGAAGGGAGCGGAATAAAGCCTGAGTCCTCAGCTCCGGTCCTACTTCTGCCACGAGCTGGGTGTATTCGTTCCCTGTTGCTGCTATAACAAATCACCATGAACTTAGTGGTTTAGAATAAGAGTTGCATTATCTTACCGTTTGGAGGTCAGAAGCCCAAAGGCATCTCAATGAGCTAAAATCAAGGTGCCCGCAGGG